TCACTCCTCCATCATCTGAATCTAGCCTGGCTTTCTGTGTGATATGTGTGATCGAACAGATAGGGAGATAAAATGCACCCTTGCCTGACACCTTTGCTTACAGGAAGCCATTCTGTCTCTGGACAGCCTGTCCTAAGGGTAGTTTCTTGTCCACAATACAGGTTACACATCAGGACAATCAAGTGCTGAGATACACCTACAGTATATTTCTTTCAGAAGAACCCATAGTTGCTCATGATCCACATAGTCAAAGGCTTTGCTGTCATCTGTAAAGCATAGACTTTTCTTCTTCCGAAATTCTTTTGCACACTCCAGTAGCCAGTGGATCTTTGCAATATGACCTCAAGTGCCTTTTTATTTTTGGAATTCAGTTTGAACATCAAGCATTTCTCACTCTGTATAAGATAAAAGGGCTTTGTTGCAACACCTTGAGCATCATTTTGGTTGCACATCTAAGACTGCTAAAATCAATGGGCTCACACAGACTTTTCTTTAGGATTGAATTCTCAACTTTACTAGGAATATTTTACACAAATTACATATTTGTTTTGAAAAGATTTTCAAATAAGGTTGTTTTCATTGGCTAAAATCCTATTGCTTAGTGTAGTAAGTTTTGAGTAGAATCAGTGGGGATTTCGTGAGTCAGTTCTGAAAGTTCCACTGATGGACCTACTCTAGTTGTGACTTACTAAATTAAGCAATAGGATTCCAGTTATTGTCTTAAAACAATATATTTTGCATTGAAATTGCTTTTGCATTTAAAAATATTCACACCTAGTAAACTCCTAGGTCACAGGCAGAAAAACCATGTCCTTACATATGTCATTGGACTTCAATTCCCATCAGTCCCAGCCAGCATAGACAATGGTCAAGATGACAAGAATTGTAAGCTGACAAATTTCTACACCCATCCATCCCTGACCAGCTCCTGGAACATGATCAGGAAGCAATTTCATACAACATAATTAAATTCAGCATCTTCCGGGCAGCAACTGAGTGCCAGGGAACTCTATGCCCCAGATTGCTTGTAGAGAGGATTTAAAATACAAGGCAGCTAAGGCAAGACTCTGCCAATAGTCAGTGTTCAACGAACTCCCTCTTGATATTTCTAAACATGCACCCTTCTGCTGTCTTGACCAGGTAGACTAGCTGATCTTGAATGAAGAAGACACTAACTTAAGATGACCTCTGAAAATTAAGATTACAAGGCAAGCAATGACTGTTTATGACATATGTGACAGACAGAACAAGCTTTCTCAGGGCATACACTGAAATAATGTTGCCGTTTAGTTGTTCTACCTTGTAAGAAGCTGATGATGTCAGCAGCTGTGACAATTTTTCAGAAATAACACATTTCCAATTCCTCTCATCCAAAAGTCCCAAGGTCCCTTCCATCATGGGGAAGCTGCTAGGAGTTGCAAGATGGGGGCAGGTGTGTCTAATTTCTGAATAGTCCTGCCAACAATAAAGTCATCCCAGCAGTGGTGCTTGATAATTAAAGACACCCCCCTACCCTGTGATCCTCAACAGCTTCCCCACAATGAAAGTGATCCCAAGAGAGACTCAGGTTGGGGGTGGGGAGGGGAGAGAAAGAATCAGAAAATTTTACACACAAACACCCATGTTGTGGCTGAGGAAGTTATCAACCTTAGGTGCATAAAGTTGCACAATAGGACTTCAGTTGCTATAAAATAAGAATTACCATCCCTTCTTGCCTTCAGAGAGTGTACAAAAGCCATATGATCTCTCCTCCTCCCCCTCCCCATGAGGTGGGTGAGGATAAGAGCAAGAGACTGACCAGCCCAAGATCACACAGTGATTTTCATGGCTGACTTGGGGGACTAGAATCTAGATCTCTTGAGCCCAAGTCCTAAAATCTAACTCTGGGGAGAGCAACTGTGGATCTTGAAATGTGACTGGACTGCAGTTCTCATCAGTGGCAATAAAGAAAGAGCTGAGGTCTGGCAACAACTGGTGGGCAATAGTTGCCCATTGCTTCTTCAACCATTATGCCACGCTGCCTCTCCAAACCCACCTGTTTTGCTCAGACGGTGAGCAGTGATCAAAGCAGATGGACTGTTTGCCTACAACGCCCAGAATGTTTTTCTGGCACTCTGTACCTGCCTGTTCCTGCTACTTCCACCACAGCATGTCTGTTGTCTGTTTAGTCAAGGGCAGTAAAAGCTAATCCTGGAGGCGACCCATAAAGTGTTGATAATAGGGGGAATCAAGCAGCACGCTCCCTGCCCTGTCTTACCTCAAAGCTTCTTTTGTTCACCGCCGCCTTTCAGCAATGGGGTCCGATAAGGGCTCATGAATGAGGTAGGTGCGCTAAACCCCCACCAAGCGGGGTGGGTGGGCTGTCATTATCGCAGCTTGAGACAGCTGGAGGTAATTAAATACACCTTAGGCTAATAAAGGTGGTTTAATTTCACCAACGGAATTGATTAAAATTGTTAACATGAACACTGATAACATATCAAACAATTTAATATCAGCCAGGCAATAAAACCATGACTTGAAGGAAAGGCTGTAGACTCAACTTATGTCTCGCTTATGTCTTCTAATGGAGTCTACTAGATTTTGTATATATAAACAGATGCCAGTGGTATCAAGTGAATGTTACTAGGTGCATAAATGTATGCTTCCAGAAGAGTGAATCAGGAGAGTAATATCCAGGGATGAGCCAAAATGGCTTGAGGGAGAATTCAGGCAGGCAAAAATATTTAGCTCCTGTGAAAACCCACTAACCCTTCAATGATTTCGGTCACCAAATGAGAACACATGAATGTGTTTTCCTATCCAGAATGAGTGAAGAAAAGGCTTTTGGCTCCTACTCTGAATTGGCTTCAGCATGTCATCAATCAGCCAGATTTCATAGGCTAATTGAATGTAGAACTATGTCCTCAGGCTGGTGATGGGATTACTAACAGACTGAGATTGTGGAGCCAGAAAGAAGTGGAGTTTTTGTTCTCTGGGAAGCCTGTGTGGCCTTTGGCAAGCTGCACAGTCCCAGGGCGCCCTCCTGAAGAAGGGATCGGTAAACCACTTCGGAATATTTTCCACTTAGAAAACCCTGGAAAGGGTCACCATAAATCAGAATCAACTTGGTGGCACATGACTATTATTAACGGCGATGTAGGAATTGTCAGCTAGGTAGCAAAGCAGTTGCAGAAAGATACAACTGCTTCTTTCTGCAACTGAAAGCAAGAGTTTAAGAAACTTTTCTAGGGGACATTTCATCCTCTTAAAAAGGCATAGATGTATTTCACTACATAGGTATTCACTCCTGAGTAGATGGCACAGCTTTGATTATGCTGCTCCTATTACTGCGCCTGTCCTTTTACAGGAGCCTAACAAGTTATTAAAGTAAATTGGCATGCGACTGTTTCCTTTTCTTATTTCCTGTGAAAATTAAATGAAGGGGAAACCATCAACTGCTAGCTGTCTCTTCTGCATGGTAAAGATTTAAACCATGCGTGTGTTGGGGCGGGGGGACTTGGTGTGGGCAGGCACTGTGGACCTGACAGTGTTGTGTCTCTGGCCAAATCAGGATTGTGAAGTGGAGGTTTATCACATCCATGTCAAAGGCACAAGAGCAAAATCTTGTATAGCTTCATACATTAGGATTAATAACATGTACCCTTGCATTGAGTGGCATTTTCTGACCCCCAATGAAGATTTCACTGGAAAAGACAAACAGGGGAAAAATCTGTCCCTTCATTTAAAACAGTCTTTCTGCAATCTGAGTGTCTTTAAGGGCAAACCGACCTTTAAACCCTTGTGATTTCTGTTGGTGCCTTTGCCAATAAGTTCATTCTGTCTGGGTCATAAATCCCTGGCTCCCAGCAGATGAATAGGTGTGCAAAAGGCCTGAGTACATAACCAGTAAGGTGCAACCAGTAAGATGCTGGAGTTGGGAGCAGGGGGAGGATGCCTGAAAGGTGGAGGTCTTTGGTCATTTCACGAAGGCATGTCTACTTGCAAAGGAGGAGCTCTGAGAGGAGCTCTTGAAGGCTCCCTGGGGCAACACATGTGGGAGGATATTTTGTCAGGAGTCAAGCCGAAATGATGCTTCAAAGGTCTCTCTAAGGAAAACTGGGAGACACCTAGGGATGTTTTTTGTCCCATTTGCTTTAGGTGTTCAAGAAAAGTGTCCATGGCAAGTGACTCAAACTTGGGGATACTGTTAACAGGTTTTGAGGTGGCAAAGTTGCCAAGCATCTACATTGTAGTTCTATTTCTCCATGAATTCTACTACAGCAAACTTTATTTGATGGAGAGAGGCTTTAATGTCCCATAATGCAGAAGAGGGTTTTTTTTTAAAGATAGACTTAGTGAAAAAAGATGACAATATAAGTTGCATCTTCTCATTTATTAAATAGGAGGAGGAGGTCCTCCGATGATTTACTGTAAATAGGCAATAGATTATATAGGTTATAGGCAATGGCGATTGGTGATACAGGAGTGGCCTTCTACAACTAGTGGTATGTGAACATCTTTGAATGTAGAAGAAATGATGCAAGTACCTTGTTCTGTAATCAAGAAGTAAAGGAAAGTTGGACGTTGCTCAGTTCTTGCAACTGTCCAGTACAAATAGGAAAGCCTTGACCAGCAGCCATACTGCGTTGCATCACACAAAATTTTCAGTCCATTCATCTCTCAGTGTTCCCTTGTTTATTAAATTTCTGCTAAGTGCTCTGTACATTGGATGGTGTTTAATAGACAGCAACATTTTTTTTAAAAAATGGCTTGTTTATTAGAACAATACCTGTGTACCATAGCAAGTACCATACATGTAGCACTTTAGTCTCTGTGCAAATTTGGGATGCATGTAGCCCTATGATGCTGTGCTTCAGGAATGTTTTATAAAAATCGTGCTCATGTGTTCTTTCTGTGGCAAATGCTGCAGCACTGCTATTGCTCTTCGTGTTGTCTCTTCTGGTCTCATCTTTCTGCAATGTGTGTCTTGTGTGTGATTCATTTTTTTTCTCTTTTAGCTGCCCCACAGTCTGGCCTGATGGGCAAGTGCCGCCGACCTCGGACAGCCTTTACCAGCCAGCAGCTTCTTGAGCTGGAGAACCAGTTCAAAATCAACAAGTACTTATCGCGGCCCAAACGCTTTGAGGTGGCCACATCGCTGATGCTTACTGAAACACAGGTATAGACAAGTGCAAGATATTTTGTACATGCTTCAGAAATACCAAGGGAAGCAGCTGCAGCTGCAGTGGACATGAAAGGAACAAGGGTGCCTACCTTCCCCTGTGAAAATGTATCATCATCATCATCATCATCGTGTGCTGTCAAGTCAATTCTGGCTTATAGTGAAGTCAGAAGTTTTCAGGGTTTTCTAGGTGGACTGCACTCAGAAGTGGTTTACCATTCCTTTCTTCTGTGGCTGTCCTGCAACTGTGCGGCTTGCCCAAGGCTACACAGACTGGCTTTACTTGCAGGAGGCATAGTGGGTAATGGAACTTTCCAGCCAGATACCAAAGCCACTGAGCTATCCAGCCAGTTGCGAAAGTACGTACAGAAATGTAAATGAGTTGAAGGCCAATAGCTATCTATTCCTTATTGATACATGTCAGTGATCTTGCAGAGAACTGTTGGGGATGTTAACATTTGCCACTACAGAAAAATACAAAGAGAAAACAGCTCATGTACAGTGTAATGAAAATACTTTTGTTTTCGTCATAATAGATTGGATGTACTCTGGTTCAGCCTGAAGGTAAAAGTTAGTTTGGGGGAACCAAGATGGGATATGAATAGGGAGCCATGGGAGGTACAAAGCCTATGAGAAAATATAGGAAAGGGTAGTGAATCTTTCCCCTGTTCAGGTCCATGTTGGTTGGGCCCACATTACAGCAGGTGGGTGTTACCAGAGCCCAAAGTGGCTGAAACTACAAACATGATTTTTAAGTAGGAGCAATATTCCCTCCAAGCTGTGTGCAGAACTCCATTGGGGCTGCACACCAGCAGCCACAGTTAGTGCCTGTTTAATTCTGATTTCGGCTGGAACCCCGTCCCTGGGTGGATGCATGGGGTGAGGCTGAAAATTAGAGGGAACATTGAATAGGAGATATGCTGCTGACATTTGCACCCAAATGTTGTTCTTCTCAACTTGTGGAAGGTTTGCAGCCAGGGAACAAAAACAGATGGAGTAAATAACATAAATAAGTCTAAACAGGTCCAATGTGATGACATAACCTGAAGACAATCCTGAGATCTCCAATAGAAGTGAGCACTATATGGCCTTCCTCATGTTGTTGATCTGCAATTTCCATTATTTCTCACCATAGCATATGCTGGATAGAGTGATGGAATTTATAGCTCTATAATATCCAGATGTGGTGGTGCTGCAAGTTAAACCGTAGCCTCTGGGCTACAAGTTTGGAAGATCAGCAGTTTGAATCCATGTGACAGAGTGAGCTCCCGTCGCTTGTCCCAGCTCCTGCCAACCTAGCAGTTCGAAAGCATGTAAAATGCACGTAGATTAATAGATACCACCACGGTGGGAAGGTAACGGTGTTCTATGGCTAGTCATGCTGGCCATGTGACCACGGAAATTGTCTACGGACAAAATGCTGGCTTTGTGGCTTGGAAAGGGGGATGAGCATTGCCCCCTAGAGTTGGACACGACTGGGCAAATTGTCAAGGGGGAACCTTTTAATATCCAGAGAGGTGTACTTTTTCCATGCCTCATCTAGAATTAGAGGCCTGGGAGCCACCATTTTGTTCAAGGACAGGAAGTTTCCCAATTTTGATTTAGGAGTTACAAGGGAAGAGTAGAAGGTTAAATTTCTCCCCTTTGCAAAGTTCACGTCACAGAATGTCTGTCCATCTCTTACAGGTGAAAATTTGGTTTCAGAACCGTAGGATGAAGTGGAAGCGTAGCCGGAAGGCCAAGGAACAGGTGACACAAGCAGAAGCTGAGAAACCAAGAGGGGCAGGCAAAGCCTCAGGAAAGCTTCTGCCTGGAGAAGTGGGAGGGCACGACGATGAAGAGGAGATGAGTGATCAGGAGCACCAGAGGCACAGGGCTGGTGAACAGCTGCTGCACCAGACTGCTGACACCTTCAGCAGCAGCTCAGAGGAGGAGGAAGAAGAAATGCAGAGTTCTGCTCACAGGGAGATGGACTTGCTATTATGAGAGGACAGCAACCCTGAAAAGTGGAGCAGTGAGAGGAAGTCACTCCAGCCCAACAAAAATGTTTTTTGCATCCTCCTCTGGCCAATAGACTCATTTCTTTTTCTTTTTAAAAGAGAGACTATGCCTCGGCTGATGCCTTGGTAAAGCTGTACCCCTTAATTTATGTGTGTTTGGAATATATTTATCTTGTAACTGTTCTGCGAGTGTATTGGGGTGTATGGGGGGCAGCTTCCATACTGGTATCCCCCTCACTTTGGCATAAAGACATCCACTTCAGAAAAGCCACAGGCTGTTATTTGCTGTGCTGACAAGAGCCTTAAGATATTTGTCTCCCAAGAAATTCACTAAATGGCACTTAATACCCACTTCGTCCAAAAAGAAAACAGAAAAAGAATGCAATGTGATAATCCATGTCGGTTCTTTGTTGCTTCAGCTTTTACTAATGAGGGTAAACGTAATTTTCTAAATATTATGTCCACAAAGCTGACTGGGGAGGTTTAGAGAAAGTCTCGGTCTTCCTGGTAGATTTTGTCTCACTGGTAAAAGAAGTAAGAGAACAGGTGTCATCTTAACTGTTAGAAAACTGTTTCCAAACCACAAATATTTACAGATTGGCAAAGATTCAGAGCCACCTAAAACACAGTGTTTGGATGGAGATGGAAATAAGGTGTATGGGGGGCAAGGGTCCACAGTAATCTAGACTGTGCTGAAACTTGGGGGTGGAAGAAAGACTTACCCCAGCTGCTGTTGCAGAGGGAGGAAGCATTAAAGCAGAAGGAGAAAAATGAAATCCAAAGTAAGAGCACATGCATATTGCTGTAAATATAAAGCCCCAGGGCAAAGTATACACCCACTCATTCAAGATTCTCTCTTTCTGACTGCCTTGGAATCCTCCCAGCCTAAATAATTCTTGGTTTTGCATTTCATTCGAATAGGCTAGCTCAACGGCTGATCCCCAAAAGTCTTTGGAATAATTAGAATATGCTCAGTTGGAGATGTAATTACTATGTTAGAGTATTCAGACATAAATCTCAATGTTCATTAGGTCTGTATTTCATCTGTTCCAAGAATAAAGACTTCCTTCACCACAAGGAGTGGGACATCCTGCAGAACACTCAGCAACGTGGGTAGCTTGGATCCAACTGTTTTTTCAGCTAAATAGCAAAACTTACATGCAAACTGTACTGTCAGGTAGTTGTGAACCTGCGAGTATCCAGTCCTGCTGCCTAAATCCAGTGGATACATGTGTAAAAATATCTCGCTATACAGATAAGTATCAGGCATCACTCATTGCTCTATTCATGTATCTACACTGGGGGTGGATGGGCGGGCGGAATACTAACACAATTCTAAAGGCCAACCAGGAATTTCTACAGATGTGTGGAGGACAATACAGGAACGCAGGGATGTGGCCAGACCAGGGTTTTTCCCACACCTTGATTTGCATCACATAAAGTGGCCAGTGCTATCATTTTTTGCAAAATAAATGAATAAATAAATATATTAAAAATTGTGACACTCAAGAGCTATGAAAATAGTGAAACAACTGCAGTAAAACAATGGAAACAGCAGCTATTATGGCTGAGAGATTCTGAGAGTCAACCCCCCCCCCCAAAAAAAAAACCAGCCTCACTAAAATAATCAACCAACCAATAAAACCTTTTCCAAGCACTGTAAAGAAATAAACAGTTACCATAATGCCAGGATGGGCAGGAGACAGACTGTTGTATATCATTGGTAAGTCCAGTAAGTTGGCTACAGGTGTCTGGGATTCTTCGAAAGAGTGCTGAAATGGGTAAACATTTATCTCATACAGGAGGCAGATCTTAGGGACTAAACTAACATTAACTGTATCAATGTAATCATAACATTTTTATTCTGGAGATCAATGTTACCAGAAAACATGAGGTGCATCAGAGTCAATAGACACTTTATTTCTGATGCAAGTAGAAACTTAATGTCATAGAATTATCTGTCATGTCTATTTCAAGCCAAAGGTTATGAGCATAGACAACTGTGCTTAGAAGAATCTTGATGTGTGCATCTCATATTGAAAGGGATTGGTGCCTTTTTTTTCCAGAAATGTGGGAAAATCTGTATCACTATAAAAAAATTGTATCTGTATGCAAAATTTGATTAGAGGAAATATTTTCAAAGTTGTCGGATGATCTCAAGAAAGGTGAAGACCCAGCCTTGCAACATTACGCAGTACAAGTAATCACTGAGAGTTGATGATGGTGGGGAACTGTTTCAGAGAAATAAGCTTTATGTTTGGAGAAACACCACACAATTCCAGTTGTCCCCTTTTGTAACATGAAGGTTAACTTCTTCTTGGCCAAATCTGGTTGTTAGGCTACATGGCTGGCTCAGGGATAGCCAGAAGTGGGGAACTCAACTGCTCACTGTGCCTACTATGAGAAGAGCCAGCCTTGGACATGCTGCATAGTCCCAGGATACCCCCAGAAGAAGGGAATGGCAGACTATTTCTGAGTACTGTACTCTGTACTTAAGAAACCCTGAGAAGGGTCACTATAAATTGATTGATGGTGTATCATCATCATTACTAAATCCAATTGTTAGTCTCAAGTAGAAGAGACTCATTGAGTCAGAATAAAAAGGTAAAGGTAAAGGTTCCCCTTGAAATTTTTAGTCCACTCATGGCCGACTCTAGGGGGCGGCGCTCATCCCGCTTTTCAAGCCATAGAGCCAGCGCCTGTCCAAAGACAGTTTCGTGGTCACGTGGCCAGCGCGGCTATACACGGAACGCTGTTTACCTTCCCACCGAGATGGTACCTATTTATCTACTCACATTTACATGCTTTCGAACTGCTAGGTTGGCGAGGAGCTGGGACAAAGTGACAGGAGCTCACTCCATTGCGTGGATTTGATCTTACAACTGCTTGGTCTTCTGACCCTGCAGCACAGGCTTCTGCGGTTTAGCCCAAAGTGCCACCACGTGCCCTTTATTGAGTCAGAGGGGCTTACATAAATGTTGACTTATCAAACCCCCAAGATTCAATGGGTTTAGTTAGAACTATCAATAGCATCGGACAGTTGGACAGTGTCACCGAAGCTACCAACATGACTTTGTCCAAACTCTGGGAGGCAGTGGAAGACAGGAGGGTCTGGCATGCTCTGGTCCATGGGGTCACAAAGAGTCAGACACGACTTAACGACTAAACAACAACAATCAATAGCATTTAACTCTCTGCATCCTCCTGACACTATTATATTGTTCACTTAAGCCAAAGGCAGCAAATGGTATAAGGATTAAATAGGGAGACAGACAATCTCATGCACCAGGACAGGATGCAAGTTACTGTACGTTACACATTAAGAAAGGAGGAGAAGTTCAGCTTCTGGGGAAATCATGCTATGGATTCTGTTACAAGCTGGTTTTCCAGCCCCTCCTCCCCCGAAGCAGCAAGAGACAGAAGCTCAACAGTGACACATACAGGCAACAGTGACACATGGGATGCAAGGCAGCCAACCGCAGTTGCAGTTTGCCAGTATTGATGTTCAGTGTTCTATCCCACTGGTTCAAAATAGTATCAATAATTAAATGAAACAGCTTGATGATTTCTCTTTTATTTTGTAAACATTTTCTGCCTGATCTCAGATATGTTTGTTAACAAATCTCTTTTCTCTCCCAAACTGTAGATACCATACTTAACTCTGTCTCTCAATTCATTGCTTCAATTTGGGGCAGATGTTCTCTAAACAAAGTCCTGTGTTAATTCTGTCCTGTGACACATGCAAAGCAAAGGCTTTGCAGAATGAAAGAAGATGTCTCTTCTTTCTCTGCTTCATAGCTTTTTGAATCATTTGACCTCGGTTTTTCTCTTTTTGATAAGTGGCATTCATTCTACATCACTCAGGATAAAGAGTCCAGTCCCTAAAATTGTTCCTTTAGAAAAAAATAATCACATGTGCTCTTAATTATTCAATTATTTGATTTGTAGCTCACCTTTCTTCTCAAAATGGGATGCAAGGCAGCTATCACTATAATTAGAGAACAACTGCGCTTAAAATAAAACACACTATTAATATTAATACAGAGCCAGCATAGCGTGATGCTTAGACTGTTGGACTAGTACTCAAAAAATCTGGGCTCAAATCTCCACTTGGCCATGGAAATCACTGGGTGAATTTGAGTCTGTCACACACTTTCAGCCTGACCTACATCAGAGAGTTGTTATCAGGAAAATGTGGGGAAGAGGAGAGGCACAGCTTTGAGTTTACTGGAGAAAAGGCAGGATATAAAACAAACAAATATATATGAATTAAATTAATTATCCTATTAAAGAAGAATATAGTTAAAACTCATTGTCATCGTTTAGTCGTTTAGTCGTGTCCGACTCTTCGTGACCCCATGGACCAGAGCACGCCAGGCCCTCCTATCTTCCACTGCCTCCTGTAGTCGTGTCAAATTCATGTTGGTGGCTTCGCAGACACTGTCCAGCCATCTCATCCTCGGTTGCCCCCTTCTCCTCCTGCCATCACACTTTCCCAACATCAGGGTCTTTTCCAGGGAGTCTTTTGTTATATTGTGTAACTTACTGCTGTGAATCACCACTAAGTAATGAGGCACTGGTCACATTAGTAGGCTCACACCTCTCGCACAGTTGGGCAAGTGCTCTGTAATGTGACTGGTATCTCATAGTTAGTGGCCAGTGATTCACTGTGGTGAGTTATACAACTTAACTTCAACAAACACACATCAGCAGCAGGATTCTACTTACTTAAAAAAAATACTCAGTTATAAAAATGATTACAATTAGCCACAGAAGCATGCATAGCATAGGCATCCTTCAGTCTCGAGAGACTATGGTAACATGCTCTGAATCGAGGAGTGTCCTCTCCAGAGCATGAAGCCCGGGTAAGGTAATATGGAGGATAGGCGGTTACCCAAGCAGCAGATCCCCCCTCTCCACATTGCTGAAATGGTCCAATGGAAAGGCAAGAGCCAATACACCTGGTTCCAGCAATGTCGCAGGAGTTGGCAGAATGACACATGCTGCCTTCGGGACTCCAGTTCCGGATTTTGCCTCGAGGTTAACTCCTGAAGCGTTTTCCATGAGTGGATATAGCCACAAGGCAGTGGAGGTTTGATATCGGAGTTTTCCTTCTCCTAGATGGGCTGCCTTCCATGGCTGATGAGCCCCACCTACCCGGCCAGCTCTTTAATAGTGCAAAAGTATGATCATAGATCATAGAAGCATGCAGTACATCCTTAAAGCCACCATCCTTAGCAATGAGTTTTGTAGTCTGAGAGCTGCCACAAAAAAAGGCCCTTAATTGTTCTCACAAAGGCTGTGGGACCAAAATGTATCTGAAAGTTTAGGAAGGCTTTTATGGAAGAATACCATGTTTCAGATCGAAATGCTGTTGTAACAAGGGAAGCTGCATCTTTTCTCTGAAGAGAAACCTTTAAACGTTGTACTGTAATGGTACCCAAAGAGCAGGTTATTTAATATTTACAGCCTCGCAAGACGATGTTAATTCCGCGAAAATCGCTGTTTTGTGACAACATCGTCTTGCGAAATGCGGTTCCCCATTGGAATGCATTGAAATCTATTTAATGCATTCCAATGGGGAAAATAGTCGTCGTCTTGCGAAAATCGCCCATAGGAAAACTGTTTTGCGAAGCGCGGACCAGCTGTCAAAATCGCTGTCTTGCAAAAATCGGTCCCTAAAAAACCGTTTTGCAAGTCGCAGACCTAGCTGTCAAAATCGTCATCTTGCGAAAAATGGTCCAAAAAAAGACACCATCTTGCGAAGCACGGACCGAAACATTGTCTAGCAAAAATCGCCCATAGGGAAAACCATTTTGCGAAGCACTATAGCGATCTCAAAAACTCATCGTCTTGCGAATAAACCGTTTTGCAAGGTAATCGTCTAGTGAGGCACCACTGTATATGCTTCACCATTACCTGTTATTTCCTAGCAGTGGTAAGAGGGAGTTTCTGTGCACTGGGGTAAAGAAGGTTAGGACATCTCTGAATGACCCTTCAGGGCTGAGTAGGGATGTCCTAGTTTTCTTGTCGGATCAAAGTGTGTGTGTGTGTGTGTGTGTGTGTGTGTGCGCGTGCGTGTGCGTGTGTGTGCGTGCGCGTGTGTGTTTTCCCCTACAGCATAAAGCTCCCTAGGGCATGGCCATTCTGTCCATGACATTTTAATAAAATGTGAAACTCACATTTTGACAAGATATCACATTAGTGACATTAATACACCATACTATACACAGTATTATGAGCAAGTATCAATAGCTACATGGATGATGGCCTTTTAGATATTGTTGGACTTCAGCTCCCATCATCCTCAACCAACATGGCTCATGCTCAACAGTAATGATAATTATAACCCACTAATTCAGAAGGCCACTAATTCCCCATCTGAAGTATTTCATGCAAACTGGGGAAAAAATCACTTTGGAAGCCCGGCAGAATCAAGGCCTTTCTTTGTAAAGGAGAGCTGTAACAGCCAAGTTAAAATAAATGATGATCCTAGCAAAATCTGTTGCGTTGAGATATAGAGTCCCATCCAAATCAATTTTTAAGCAACCAAGGTTCTGTCATCAAGGCATTGGGACTTTTAATCTCAAGTAGGAATGAAGAATAAGGAACATGGTTCTTTGGCATTCTGAGTCCAAAAAAGGGCCCTGAACATCCCAGAGCGATTCAACTGAGAGCCAATTTTCCCTTTTTAACAGAACTAGTTTCCCTAGAATCTTGTGCTTATGCCAGTCACAGTAAGAAAAATAAATAAATAACTCCTTTTGGTCACAAAGTCACTGGAATCTGATGGAAGACCCAGGCGCTATCATAGCTATAGCTCTGCAGTATCCAAGGCCATAAGTTAAGTGGAAGCACATGGGAAAGGTGGCCTGGAGCAGAGACAATGACACAAGATGTGTGGCTATCTGGCTTTCACAGGCGGAAACATTCTCATTGGTACACCATGACAGGTTTAATTTCCAGAGTATACCTATTAAAATGATGGATGGTAGAATTCAGATCATGCCAAGACTGTTGGTGATTCTTTGCTATTGTCCAAAGTGTATTATTTACTGGATCTTACTTACAAGATTGTTTCTGCTGAATCTGGGCATTTGCCCAATTTGGGAGCCAGTAGTAGCACTGGAGAGAGAGGAAATGAAATTGATTTATAGTTTTTTACCAACATGACTCAAAACGTAAACAGACATATACTGTATTAAAAACACATTATTTTACCTTATTTACATATCTCAGAATCAGTGCAGTTTTCAGCTCCAAGGACACTCGCAAGGATGTTTTTAGGTTCCTCATCATTTTCTCTCTGACATATGGAAGATGCACAAAAGATGCAGGGCATCTCTGGAATATGCCACCCACCATGTTCTAGGAACATCCCATGATTATTTTTGTCAAGTTCAGATCTTTTCACTTGATTTTTCTGGAATAAAAAAATCTAGAACTGATAAATGAAAAGCCGAGATCACTGCTGACATATTTTACATTTTAGATCTTTTAGCTACCCATTCCTGTTTTTGCAAAGGCAGTATTTTGGCATGCTTATCATCACCACAGGTGGGTGATTTGTGAGCTGCAGGAGTCATTGATGTGCAGCTGACACAATCCTTTACCATGGGCTAGCCCGGTGGTTCCCAACCATGGATTCCCATTTGTTCTTGGATGACAGCTCCCAGAAATCCTGGCCAGCACAGCTAGTGACAAAGGCTTCTGTGAATTTGAGTCCACGAACATTTGGGGACCCAAGGTTGTGAACCACTGGGCTAGACAAATTGTTCACCTCTGCCCTAGATATCCTGCTTGGATATCTCGTCCCCCCTCTTCCTGATATGTGCCTAATCTGAAAGCCTAATTTCAGTAATAATAAAAAGCACCCATAATTCAACTAAACAAAATGCAACATCAAATTGCCTACAGACGATTACAGTATTCTGAATCAGAGATGAAGTATACCTCCATTCTTCAGATGATTTGGACAAAAACTCCCACAATCTTTTACGAGGGGGTCCTGCTTTCTGGGACTTCTGGGAGTTGGAAGTCCAAAACATTTGGAAGGTCAGATTTCGTTCTTGATCATCCCTGTTTAGTTTTATGCTTAATCCAGTTGACTAAAATAATATATATAATATATATGCAAGGATTGTAGCCAGTCTCAGTAACAAATATATATATAAAGGGGCGCCAGTCCCAGGTGCTCCATGGCAGCGAGAGGGGAGGAAAAAAAAAAGAAAAGAAGAGAGGCAGGATTTATTTATTTATTCCATCGCATAATGGAATAATTACGGGTCGGGTCTGTGCAGTTTGCATTTTGCCCAAGCCTTTCCAGGTTGGCTGTTTTCTTGGGAGGCCCAATGGGGGAATCAACCTTCCAATCGATACTTAATTCACCAAGTTACTTAGCCAGCAGGACATATTTATGCATATCGTTCCTGTTGTTCCAGAGCCACTCTGTCTCTAGTGGTTCTCCACCAGGCCCTACTCCTCAGTATCCATCTCTCCCTATACAGTACCTGAGCTTTCCTTATCAGAGTTGCGACCGTAGAAGAACTGTTCCTCGTCGACTGCCGTAGTTGGTTGCTACGGGAGACGACGACGCGGCCTGCGAGTCTTGGTTTCCATAGCGACTCCGAGCGTTTCACGTTCCTCGCTTGCTTTGATGTTCTCTTCTGTTCCAGGAGAGCCTCGCTTCCTTGAGCCGCGGGAGGGGGATATTTAGGTAGGGCTCCCGAGAGCCCACGGCGGGCACTGCCGAGAAGGTTCATGGGGCCTCGGGCGGATGGGATGCTGGGGCCTCTCCCGCTGCTGCTCCCTGCCAGGACTCCCCCGTTGGTGTGCGGGGCTCCCGTGGGCAATGTGCCGGGACCAGGGCAGGAGCCCAACGGTAGGCAGAGGAACTAGGGCAGCGTGAGGCTTGCTTTGCCGAGGCTTGGAGCCTTTTACCCCAGCCGCCCCGTCCCAAAGACCCCATGATGCTGCCTCTCCTCCAGAACGCCATATTACAAAGATGCCCTTCGATTTGTATTCCTGCTCTGAGCAGAGGGGGTTGGACTTGATGGCCTTATCGGCCCCTTCCAGCTGCACTGTTGTATGATTCACGCTCTCGTGGCTTATTAGGAGGCGCCTAAAGCGGCCAGCAGGATGTGCAATCCCACCCATCATCCACCCCTTGCACCTTATGCTGTAGCTACTACCGTTGGTTGTGTTATACGAGCATTCCTTCCTACGAAGTGAGCAGGAGGGGAGTTCAGAAGAGACCAGCAAGCATCCACCCATGTGTTCAACTTCCTGTTCCTTCTACAGTTTGGACGGGGAGGACAGAAATGAGACTATTAGGAGATAGGTAGCACTTTCAGGTGGCTTCATACATCTTGTGTGTTGTGCTCACTCAAAAGATAGCTCCCACTGAGTGGCAGTACGGTTTACCCTTGAGTTAGGAAACAGGAACATGATATTGCAAGAGGAGGGCTGACTTTGCAAACTATTGCTTATTCAATGTATTCTCAAAGGCTTTCACGGCCGGGATCCGAGGGTTGTTGTAGGTTTTTCAGACTGTTTAGCTGTGTCCGAAGGTTTTTCTTCCTAACGTTTTGCCAGTCTCTGTGGCTGGCATCTTTCAGAGGGCAGGAGTTAGAACTCTGCCTGTGTTGTAGTGTGTGGGATAGTTGAGTATTTATAGCTGTGTGATCAGTGTTTTGTCCTTTTCACAAAAACCTCCAGAACGGGGCCAAACAGCCTGAAAAACCTACAACAACCAACTATTGCTTATTCCTTTGGGACTGAATTTTGTTGCCCTTCATGAATAATAAGGTCACATTTCAGAAACAACAATGGTTGCAGTCTTTAGCACTTCAGATAACATTTGTCCTGCTGTTTGGTGCACTGCATGGGTGGGTTGTTGTTGTTGTTGTTGTTGTTTGTGATCAGGCAATCTGATAGCTAGAGTGAATTAATTTGTTCCCAGAGTACTCTATTTGAAGTGCCGATTGAAACAGTGGCTACAGGAAGTTTCTCCATCGGCACAACATACAAGGCAAAGAAAATAATTTTTAAAATTTAATCTAAGTAATTAAGTGCATCAGTGATAGTCTAGCAGAGGCAAACATTCAATAATTTGACTTTCCTTGCCCCTCTACAGAGGAGTAGAGGAAGTATTCTATCTGCCAATATGCTGAAGTGGCTTGCTTATTAAGCCGCTTCACGATAATGGAAATTGACAGTGGAGGGAGCTGGACTAAATAGTGTTTTGCTTCAGATTGGTATGGCATTTGGATGTGAGGATGGCACCAAATGGCATTTCACTCCTCCCTTTCAACTTCAGGTGACCCTATTTAGACCACACCAGCCTATTCCAAAAGGGCTAGTGTAGTCATAGCCTTAATAAATACTGTATAAGAAAAACAAAGATTGTTTCCTTTGAGTGAGGGCTTGGGAAAATAGGGTCATTTAAGATCACTTAGAGGTATGTTATGTCATTTGGTGTGATCCTGCATCCACATGGCATATGCAGCTCAAGTAACCCTATTTAGCTTTCCTCCCTTTAAAGGGGAAAGAATTAAAATCCTTCTCCTTGTGCCCTGCTGTCTCTTCCTCCTTCTGAGAGGAAGCTTTAAATCTCTCCCTGAAAAGCACAGCACATCAGTGTTGCCCTAATAGGCTTAAAAAGAAAACCTTTCTGTTGCCTCCCTTTCCCCTTCTATGGAGGAGCAGAGGAAGTTTTTAATTTCCTTATATCATTAATGGGCTAAGCTGTCTGCTAAGCTATTTAACAATATTGGGAAATAGAAAATAGCAACCTATCTGTTTTGATGTGATCCCAGAGATTTCATGTGCTAGATCTGAACCAAAACAGAATGATCCTACCTGAACCTAAAAAAGAGTAGCCCCTTACAGGGAGTTAAAAAGGCTATTAGGAATGCTCTGGGGAATAGGCTTTTTTTCCTTACATTTCTGTCATATGGTCACCAACAAAAGAAGTGAATCAGCTCTTCCCCAGTGCAGACCAAACAATGGGATGACTCCCCATCTTGTTATACCTTGAATTCTTTTCAACCTTTGTAATACGCTCCACAATTCCATTGGTATGTCTTAGAGTACAGCCTTCTCCTGCTACATCAGCTCTAATGTGCTGCAACTTTATTTATTTATTTGACTTCTACCCCGCCGATCTAGACCAAAGGTCTTTGGACAACTTTCTGGACAACTAACGTGTTCTTTGGTTCTCCCAAATGCAGAGATGCTCACCCACATAGAGAGATACTCAGCAAACTCAGACCCACTTCAGAGACTCTGTCATGGTAGTACCAAGCAGGTAAATAAACTTTATTGCTCAAATGTTAAGAGAGCTCAAATTTAAAATCCGTAATGATTTAATTTTCACTGACATTATTTCAGCTATTCCAGATGGCAAACACTAATATGGATGTAGCTTGTCCTGCTCATTCTTTGGATAAGCTTGAATAACTTGCCCTCCTGAATAAGAAATGAATGGAATTACAACGTTCTTTTCCTTATTTCTTCAGAACCTGATGGTGTCTGTGCGGCGGTCTTTAGATACTGCTGTGAAGAAAAGTAAGAAGAATATTTTCTGGGGTATTGAAGTAGCTGAGGTGCTCATCTGGCAAGGATGGTGTTTGGGAAAAGAATTCACCAAGCACCTAATTTTGAGAAATGTGTGTCTGAAAACCCAGAAGCTAAGATTCAGGTGTGTATACAATATAAAAGGCAGGAAGCTCTGTTACATCTCTGCCCTGCACCTATTATTACAGTAGTTAATAATGATGTGCATGTACGGCAACTCTCATCTTGCTATCCAACTGTGTTGAACAAAACACTGTGGATGCAAAACATATTTCATAGGAAAATATTCAGCTATTTTGAATAAATACATTTATAAATATATTATGCAGTCTGCTTGGTGCAAACCCTATTGTCTAACCATTAGGCAGCATGCTCCAGTAATTCCCATAAAAGTAATTCCCGTAAAAGTAGTTCCCAGGGAACTCCACAAGACTTGCTTTCGAGAAAGCATATGTTTTGATTACATGTATGCATATGTGCACGCACGCGCACACACACGCAAACACACACACTTATTTACTTTCTGGTTGTTTATTATTTATTTATTTAAAATATTTTTACCTGCCTTTCTCCTTAAAAAGGACCCATGGTGGCTTACATCATTGAAAGACAATATTTAAAGCTGAAAACAATTATTAGTTTTTTAGTATCCTACTGTATTGTGAATACATTTTTCCTGTACAACCATACTGGTTTTAGTCATAAACTGGACATCTTTTAAAAATTGTCTTAGCATTTTTTCTAATAGATTTTTTGTTTTAGTTTGACAGTGGAAAATATTGGGCTTTCATAATCTTATTTGTTAATTTCATATATGAGATCACACAACACTTTATAGGTATAATTTTTGTCCTGTTTTACAAAGAGTCTTAGCATCACCTTATTTCTAATTTCTCTGTTTTGTTTTGTTCCAGACCTCCTACTACACGTTTCTTCATCACCATTTTCCCACAGCCCATTATTTTGAGTCCTGGGATGTCTATAACTCTGCCCATTATCTTCCGCCCTTTGGAAAAGGTAAACTAGGGATGTATTTACTTCTTATATAAAGTCATCAACTAAAAGGTGTATTACAGCAGCATTCTGTTTGATCCTCCTCTGACTTGGTGGGGCAAGGAGAAAGCAGAATGGTATTGAACTGACTAGCCTGTGGGATGGTTGAAATGATGTGATGTCCCCTCCAAGACTTGTGAGTTCTACTTCTCCCAAAATTTATTCTCAGTTTCCTTTCACAAATACTGTATACAAATCCCTGTTAAGGCTTAAGTTTCTTCATCTCTGGGGAGGGGGGGGGGGAATCTGAATCTTGGAAAATTAAGAGAGAACCTCTTATGGGCAGAATACTGGTCCATCAGTAATAGTGCAGTGCCATTTAGCTATCTTGATCCTTTTGGAGAAAGCTGGAGTATAAATGCAATAAATAAATATCCTTAATATTTACAACTCTGGTAAGGTTACAGTCCATCTGCACAATTTTCTCTATAAAACATGATGGGCTAAGTCTGGTTTAAAATTCACATAGAGAAGACTCATTAAAATGAATGGGAGTTGTTAGCTGACATTGGTGTAAGTTCCAGCTATTTTAATGGATCTGCCCACAAACTAGAGACTAAAATTAGATTTATCTCAATGTAATACAGGTTCCGCCTTGACAATTCGTCTGGTCGTGTCTAACTCTAAGGGGCAGTGCTCATCCCCTTAACAATTTGTCTGGTCGTGTCCGACTCTAGGGGGCAGTGCTCATCTCTTGTTTCCAAGCCATAGAGCCATTGTTTTAAATACAATTATCTAACAAAATTACAAAATGTAGCAGTTCATGAACTGAAAGCAACATTTGTTCCTGTTTCCCCTTAACAATTTGTCTGGTCGTGTCCGACTCTAGGGGGCAGTGCTCATCTCTTGTTTCCAAGCCATAGAGCCATTGTTTTAAATACAATTATCTAACAAAATTACAAAATGTAGCAGTTCATGAACTGAAAGCAACATTTGTTCCTGTTGTCAATGTAATGTTTTAAATACAATTATCTGACAAAACTACAAAATGTAGCAGTTTATGAACTGAAAGCAACATTTGTTCCTGTTGTCAATGTAAAGTGTTGGTAGTAACCAAGTGTGGTGCGGTGATGGGCAGGACTCAAGAGACTGGGTTCACAGTTTTGCTTCGTGATGGAAACTCATGAGGGTTGGGTGGCACTGGTAAACTACTATTGCTTAAATATCTCACCTTGAAAACCCTATAAATGAGATCTGACTTGATCACATGTAATGTGCACAATAACATTTGGAGCCCTTAATGACTAGGACCACAGAGCCATCTTGAGAGTCTTCACCTGTATGAACATGCCTGAATCTAAAGATTGTTTCTTAAAGTACTGGTCTTTTATCCATTAATTAAGATCTGATTTGAGGGTAACAGGAGCAGGGACCTTCTTGATGATGGTATCACAGTTGTGGAATTCTTTCTCCAGGAAGTTCAACAAGCTTCTTCTCTTCCTTTTCTCAGATAATATCTGAAGATTAATTTTATAACTTAGTGTGCTGTTTTTATTTTTTCTGTTGTTTTAATTCATCTAATTTTTTGTGGGACTTGATAGTGATTTTTTTAATTGCTACCATATGCTTGTAGTTTTTCTGTGACGTTTTATGTTGTCTTGAATTACTTTTATGTAAGCCACTTTGGAAAATATATTTGAAAATGGCAGACACAACTTAAAGAAATAAATTGACTTAATTGCTCATACACAGTGCTCTATACTTACTACCTCTCAGGATGTGTGATGGGCAGCTCCTGGTAGACATCTGTAAAGGGGCCTGTCTCATCTTTGCATTTGGTGCAGAACAGGTGTTCAGCCTGATTGCCCTCTTCTCACTTCTTACGTAGAAAGAATACGAAGATAGCATCACCTTTGAAAAGCCGGAAGGAGAATTCTCTGTCGTGCTGCATGCCAGGCTACCACATCTTGATTTGCTTTTCCCAGAAAGCATCCAGCTTCCCTTATGTGCTGTTCATGACACCACAGAGGCCTCTTTTACCATGTACAATGATGGGTGAGTGTGCTTGACGGTACATTGCTTACTGAATTTGGGGTTGCATGCATTTCCCCCCAACCGATTATGATAATTACAATCTGTAGTTGCATTATACCTGCATGAAATCTGCACAGTTGTTATCTGATAATTCTTGTTTTTCTTTTTCCTCCACATTGCTTTTTCCTTTTGTGTTGTGTTGTATTTTTTTAATAGTAAGCCAGAGGGCAGAAACTGTATTGTTTTTACTGATTTATCATCTGCTCTGAAAGTCTTTCTGGCCGAAAAGTAAAATACAAATGACTTATAGCTGAACCATTTCACTTATGTTAAAACATTTCTGCTGCATCATCATAATCTCCTACAACCTCTGTGATCCAAAAGTGTAGCTAGTTTCTCCAAAGCAGCCCTTCTCAAACCCTCCCCCCCCCGCTTTATTTCGCCATGGCCATAACACTATGAAAGAAATATAAACCAAATCAGGGTTGCATAAATTGAATAACTAACCTTATAAGGTGTTGTGTGAAGAATTGTTTCCAGTCTGTGACCTCCTTCAAATGTTCCAGAATTCCCCAGGAGGCTTTATGGCCCCCACTGAGAATGACTGCTCTAAAGGGTCTCTGATGTGGATCCTGTAAGCGATGGTCTGGCAACTTATGGCCCTTCAGATTTTGTTGGACTTCAGATTTCAGCTTCCTGCTTCAAGCCATAAACTTATGGGCATGGAAGATCTCCTTGTGTATTTTTTCATTACATCTTCCACGGGAAACAGGGTGGCAGAGTGTGCACCATTGCTTGCATTCTTATTTTGACAAGGTGCACCAGTTTTTCACATATTTTTTGGATACTTTGAGAAATCCTCTACAGTATAATGGGAGGGCTTTGATTTACATTGTACATTTCTTATAGGGATCTGCTGACATGTTTTAGCTGGAAGGCACCAAAGTCTTTCTGCCTTCTGCCTACACGTGGCATTTTGGACCCTGGAGAAAAGTGTACAGTGAAGGTGATCTTTCAGCCTGAGATGGCTCTAGTGCATGATGTAGTGGCAATGTGCAGTTTTGGAGATACTCAGGAGAAGGCCATCAGGCTGAAAGCTGTTGGTAAGAATCATTAGAGTCTAGAAGCAAGGGCACACAGCATGAGATATAAATGTTCCCCCATAAGTTTTATGATTTTCTTGTTTCCTGCAACACTGAAACCATGTGTACTAAAGAAGGCATGTGACTTATGTCCCTACCCTCTGTTCTTTAGAAGGTTATAGTTCATGGTGTTCTTAATTGTCTTAATGGTCCCATGCCACAAGCAAGATGCACCAATGTAAACATTTTGTAAATGCCAGTAGCACTACAGTCATAGTCTTTATGTATCTTCATTAAATTATGCCTAGTTACTTGTGAACTGTAGTGCCTATTGAACAGTTAGATATCGTCTTTAGAATAAAATTCACGAATGTTAGGGAACCTGCTCTTTTTTCCTGAACATCCTTGATTATGGAATACAGTATGGGTACTCTCAACTCCAAAATGGAACCAGCATTCCATTTCCCAATTCTTTTAGGCACAATCTCCACTTTTTGCAATGCTGGCCACTTTCTACATAAATATTGCTCCGTTTCATTATTATGGGGAGTTAGATGGTTCAGATTTTCATGTATGTTATCCTTAATTATATATAATTGGAAGAGCTCTTTTTCTTCATTGCAAAATTCATGGATTGAAAGCTTTTCAGAAGGTAGATTACTAGTCCCAGAATGCTTTCCCTATAATCTGATTTAGCCCGAAACAGGACGATGTTTGGGACTTCTGTGCAAATCCCAATCCACAATTATTTTAGAGTAAAAAGTTCTTATTCTTTCCTAAATTTATTTAGTCTTTGTATTCGCGAAGGCGAATACAACTATTTAGCCTTTCTTTTTCCACAGCTAAACATCCCCATCTGCTGGTGAATGTGCCAGAAGCCTCATGTGAAAATGCCGAGCTTCCAGTTTTCCACGATGTGCTTTGCTTTGGCTCTGTTGCTGTTGACAGCATTTCTGAAAAATACGTGGAGATCCACAATGTTTCTGTGGTATGAAAGCTAATCCTTCAGTTTGATGGAGATACAGTATTCTCACAAATTGAATGATGCTTACATTCTCAAGAATGCGTAGCCAAGTTCTGCTTTGTCTCTGCATAAGGCAAGCCCATATTTTACAAAAGGTTGCAGCAGGTGGGTCACAGAAAAGTAGGATCTTGTCCAAAATCTGAAGTTTCTAAATATGCCACGTGGTGAATCAACCATATGACTTTTACAGCTTCACTCAAGTATTACATGGATTGTGCAATTTGTGTGCAAGTTCTTACCTGTACAAGAGCACCAGACTAAGCTATGGGGAGGGGTGGAAGATGCTGATGAGAGGGATCCGTTGGTGAGAAGGATTTAACCTTGCTTTTTGACCAGGTAAATGCACCATTCAAGATAGAAAGAGTAAAGGATATGACACAACGTGAGAGTGATCCTGTCTTCTCTTGTGATGTTACCCAAGCCTCCATTCCAGCTCGTGGATCATTAGTTATCCCCTTCAAGTTCAGTCCACACACTGTGGGTATGAAGAGTGTGGACTATTTCTCTGTTGTGCCACCTGGGAAAAGTGGACATTCTGTGCTGAAGGTGACAGGATCATGCAAAGGTACAAGGCAAAGAGAATCCATTTGCTTCCCCATGCTATGCTGAAGCATATGTGTTGGTAATTCACTCTGGATTGCAGCAGACCTAGGTTACAAACCATGGTTGGAAATTGGGTTTATGCTACTTTCTGGTCTAGGAATGTGCACAGTGAAAACTTTCATTTTTGTTTTGTTTCAGGTTCTTTTAGGGTGGTGTCCCTTTCTTCTTTTTCCATTCAAGCACTGGCCTTTTCATTAAAATGAAAGACACCAACTATTTTTGGTTCTTTTGTTTCATTTCCACCCATTCTCCCCCCCCCCGCACTCAAAATGGCTCAAAAAAGGCGGAGGCAAGGCAACAGATAATCAGTCTTCTCCTAACACTGTTAATAGTACATGTGAAAGAAAAATTATTACCAGAACTATTTAGGTACTAGTTTATATAGAAAGTCTCTGGAAGTGCCCACCTGCCAGTACACATCACCACCACAAAGATGCTGCTTTAGCCAAGATACTCCACCGTAACCAGCAACAGTCTTATGTACAAAGGGGAAAAAACATGCTTGGTCACTAATTATCTAATTTAAAAAGCAGTAAAGCACCCAGAACTCAGTAAAGAGAAAACAGCAAAAATACCCCCAATGCCTAAAATATGGGATGATTTCTCTTCCCCTGCCATTTAATAACTTCAGTAGGCAGGCCACCAGGCAGAGGCAGGCAACAGCAAAAATAAAGAGAGGGAAATCCCCTCCCCGATTAATAAAAGATCAAAAATGGAAAGGATCCAAGATGGAGGCAGAGCAGGCTTAGAGCAATCCAAGATGTAGGGCACCAGCAGGAGCTCTAGCAGCCCCACAAGGAACAGCTGAAGTAAGGGACTGGGACCAAGGACTAGTGACCAAAGCAGCCTCACAAGGAACAGCTAAATTTTAAAAAAAGCAGTCCTCATTAATTCCCACACCCTTTTAGAGATTCCAGATTCTCATGCAAATTCCAGATTGCAGCTAGTATCCTCAACACAAGACTCTTAATGCTATCTGATAAAAATATTAAGGAGTTTTTACATATAACAGGCAAAGAGAATTTAAATGAAAGAGGGAAGCAGAAAAGAACACAATTTTTGTGCACCTTTCATTTACACAAATTAATAGTGTTTGAGAGACTCTTTCAAAAATCAATGAAAGAACACAAAAATGGAAGTAAATGCTTTAGGGATGTGCCATTTGGAATTTTTAAACTTCACCTCTAGGATTCTGCATTCTGGGAGTTCAGCCTGATAGACTCACACTTAAATGGGGCTCACCTGGAAAAGGCCTAGCTGCAAGTCTTCATAATCTAACTTCCTGTTTTTTAAAAAATCCTGGTTATCTATCTATCTATCTATCTATCTATCTATCTATCTATCTATCTATCTATCTATCTATCTATCTATCTATCTATCTATCTATCTATCTATCTATCTATCTATCTTCACCCCATTATTACAGAGCACTATTTGAGTGGTGTACATCCGTGGTTCTTAACCTTTGTTACTCAGATGCTTTTGAACTGCAACTCCCAGAAACCCCAGCCAGCACAGTTGGTGGTGAAGGCTTCTGGGAGTTGCAGTCCAAAACTCCTGAGTAACCCAAGGTTAAGAACCAGTGGTGTACATATAAGCTCTTAACAAGCACTGGGGCAGCTTCCTTTTTAAAGAGCTAGGCCTTTCTTTCTCCAGGTGAGCCCACATTTAGGAGTCTGTAGGAGTGGGTTTGTCTGGTAGAACTCCCTGGATGGAGAATTGTATGAGTTGGTACATTGAGAGATACCCAGGGGACTGGGACCAGGGACTTTTGACCAAGAAATAAATATAACAGCCAGCTCTCAGAGGGAGAAGAGAGAAAGAATTATTGGAACTCCCTTTGTCAATGTCAACTCTAGTGTGAAACGTGGCCTTACTTGTCATTCCAGGTCCTGAGGTTTCTTTCCAGCACCCCTTTGTCTATTTCAGCTGCATTAACCTTGGAGAATACTTAGTGCAGCCCTTAGAGATCATCAATACCTCTGATGTACCAGCCTTCTATCAATTTGACATTGACTGCGAACAGAGTGTCTTCTCCATTGACTGCCCCTATGGGATTTTGGATGGCAGGTCTAGTGTAACACTGAAGGTGACTTTCCAACCCAGCCACCCAATAATTTGCCACCGGCGGGTGGCTTGTCTTGTTCACCATCAGGTAAGAAGCTTAGGACTCTTAACAGGTAGAGTTGTGTTTACAGTGCAATGTATTCATGAGGGGGAATTTATGAGAGCTGGAAAAGAATGCTGGTCAAGATGGTGATTCTTTCCTTTTATTTCTCGTGCCTCTCAGGACCCACTGTTCCTCGATTTGGTTGGGACCTGTCACACGGAAACAACAAGCCCAGTCATTCTGACACTGAAGCACCTTACCCGCTACAGGACTCACATGGCCAGAGGACTGACCTTTTTCCCACCCGATATCCTAGGCACCATGCTGAAAGAAGGCAAGCTGTTGATGGATGAAAATGGAGCTCTTACACTCCCCCCAGAGGTAAAAGCATGCTTGCTACAAGAGCCAAGTTTACCCAGTCCTGCTGCCTTGAATAGGGTAGTGTGTCTTGTGCACATTCTGTTTTGCATCCACTTAATGGTTACTTGTAATCATAATTCAGTCCAGAACATGGAAAGGTTACTCGTTGTGACTGCCATTCCTAGAATCTTCTGTCAGATTCTGTGAGCCATCAAATAAGTAATATTTTCATTCTGTATTCCATACTTTTTTTAAAAAAAGTAACATTTCCATTCTCTGGTAAGAACCAGGGGCTGTTTGCTTTCATGCCTCCCTTTTGGGGCTACATCATTCTGAAATCAAAAAGATATTTAGAACTGCAACATTGGGACTTCCGGCTTGACGTTGTGACGAGACAGCAGCAGGAGGACAGAGCTCTGTCCCCTGGGCTGAATTCTGACCCGTTTTGGGACACCGCAAGGTGTCGGAACCACCCTGGAGGGGTGGTGAACTGGGGGAGAAAGCCTGTTGATCACGGGGGGTGGCGGCCACCCTGGTTCGATCCAGGAAACTCCCTAATCAGCCAATAGGCAGAAATAAGCAGCTTCGGCTAGCTTCCAAGTTGCTGGCAGCCATCTGAGAGAAGCAAGGAACAGCACCTGGCATCGCTGTTTTTCCATCGGGTGAGAATTCTTTTGCAACTAATTGCCTACGTACCCCTA